TAATATCATTATTCTAATGCCTTAAACCATATTCAGCTTTTCATAAAAATAAGAAAGTTATTACATTTTTTGACTCTCCTGTAAACATGTCATTTTATAGTTACAAGGTTGAGAAAGTAAAGCAACGATATATGTAATTATTAATACTCATATATATTTAATTATATAACAATCACTTTGTTGATGGTATAATATGTTTTCAGTTAAACGAATTGGCAATACTATTACAATTAGCAAAAGGATCGCAAGCATATTTTGCTGCAAATGATACGTAGGAAAAATATGAAATGACAACATTACTCACCCTCTCTTTATTTCCTCACGTTCTTCTTGAGAGTTAGGAAATTTAACATATTTATTAAAAATATGTGATATGTTCAGGGCATCTGTCACTTGATGGATAGCTGTCGATACAGATGGTTGAGAAACAGAGTGACTCGTTGATTGCCCTACTAGGGTCTGATATGAACCACTTGCAAAAAAAAGCCAATGCTACTAAGATCTTAAACAATATTCAGAAACTTTAAGAATGAGACTAAACCACCATGTACCTATTAGATATAATTTCTATTTCATACCTATATGGCTTACCTTTGTCTCATTATCTATGCTATCTGACCGTAATGTTACCGGCATATAAGGCGATAAATCTTGAATCCGCGTTTTGGTTAGGTCTTTAGATAATCTATAAGTTTTTACGAACTCACGATGTCGCGAATGCGATATCATGTCGGTAGATAGTCGGTTAATATTCTGGCAACACATTTTTTACCGCGAAAACGAGCAGTTGTCATTGTGACAATCCGGTTTTCTCTCACAAAATAATAATAAGAGAAAAACTTTCTGATATCAGAGAAAAGGGCCGATAACGAGGTAATTGGTGAATCGAACGGTGTATCAGTAAGTCCTTTAACATTTTATGTTTTACCTATTTCTATATGTGTAGTAAAGCATAGTGTTTCTATGCTTTATGTCTTATTGTGTGTAATCAGTACCAAATCAGTGACCGATGCGTCGGTAAGTTTAGATACCTGCGGGTATATCAGATCATCATTAACGGGCAGAGTAATGATGATGTATAGCATCAGCAGATGGACTGATGATCAGAACAGTGTGTAATCTCAGGCGAGGCATGGAGTGACTGTAGGGGAGGTTGGAGGTCACTAAGGGGAACAGCCCCGTTACCAGTCATATCAGTGCTAGCAGATTTCAATGATCTGCGAATCATAATCAGTGCGACATTGTAGAATATGTGAATTAACTCAGATACTCTTGTCATTTTATTACCCATTAAAGCACTTGGCGACACACGGTCCGTCATATCGAAAGCATCGTTATAAAACCTAGATGACAGATTTCTTCTTCTCACTTTTCTGATCTCAACTTCATATGCCATTTGCAGATATTCATTATTGAATAACATTTCTGATAAAATAGCAAATTATATTTTAAATACAAACAAATTAACTTATGAATCGTTAATTTTGATGGATGAAACGATCCGATTTCGTAACGTTTCGATCCATATAAGTTTCAAAATTTTAGTGGAATAAGAGTGAATGATCGACTCAAGTTCGATGATTCGATTGCAATTGTACAATTGCAATTCTATTTTAGAATTGCAATTGTATCGGTGGACACCATTTTGACACTAAGTAGAATAGGAAAACCACTAAAAGCTGTAGTTTCGTTCGGTTTCGATCTGTTTTCGATTCGATTTAAACAAAATTTATTTAGTAGAATTGGCCCCCTGTTTAGATATGTTGTGTTTCCTTCGCAACCTTTTTCAATTGAAAGCTTTAGCTGACAAACTAAATAATTAAAGTAACCTATATCAATTTCAGTTGAAAATGTGTTTTTTTAGTTGATTATTTTTAATTTTGTTGGTGTATTTTTTGAAGAAGAAAGATTTTTTGTTTTTTTCAATAATTGTTTCTGTTTTTTGTAAAGAATAAACGAAAGTGTAATTTTATTGATCTCATACTATTAGTAATTAATACTTAAATAAATGTAGATTTAGTTGATTAATTCATTGTTTTATTTGCCTTATATAAATATGAATACATATTTTCAATGTGCAGGATCCCGCAAATACCGAGATCTCGCGAGATCGAAATTTCGTAGTCCCGCAAATACCGAGATTAAATTCAGGCTGCGGGATTGGAAGCCCTACTCCAGAGGTCGACCTTTGTTAGAGATACAACAGTTCCAAGGGATTCCCTTCGAGGTTCAGATTAATGTAGACATCTCGTACAGTCCATGCGTTGTTATATTATAGGTTGTATGTTATTGGCAACCTTATTCATATAGCAATACATATATATAATCTATGACACAATGTGCGACAAGTTTCACGAGTATCATATATTTTATACCCCGTTTGTGATTTAGTTTAAATAAAAAAAAAACTAATTGAAGATTAAGTATTTTATTTAAATATTTTAAAATAAAACATAGCGCAGTCGGAGTCTTCTGCACTGATAAGTGTTGCGGAAAACAGAAGTATTCAGCAGGTAAAGTTGCCACCTAACCTTAATTTAAATGCTGTGGGATGGGAATTTTGGATGCAAATATTCGAAGATTATCTAATTGTAACAAGAAATAATGATGCATCGGACAATGTAAAGTTATCATTACTTAGAAACATGATGGGTACAGAGGCTGCCAAAGTAATATCAACGTTACCGTTATCTAGAGAGGAATTCAAAATCTATGAAAAAGTGATAAAATCTATTGAGAATTATGTTAACCCACGAACAAATATAGTATTCGAGCGATACAAGTTTCATGAAAGGAAACAACATGAAGGTGAGCCCTTTGATAATTTTTTAACTGAGTGTAGACAATTAATAAAATCTTGTAAATTTCACGATGATGAAGAAATGATGAGGGATCATTTGGTCTGCTCAATATATGATAAAAGTACTCAAGAAGCCCTATTGAGACTCGATGATCTAACCTTAAATAAAGTAATACAATTTTGTCAAACTAAAGAAAGTGCTAATAGACAGGTAAAATTGATGAATAATACATGTACACCAATATATGAAAATAGTATGAGCCCAAAAAAGGTTGGTTCAAAGTTTAAGAAAAATGTGACAGAATAGTTTTTTATGTCGAAGATGTCAGAAACATCATGGTCCTAGGGAGTGTCCTGCTTATGGCAAAGTATGCAACAAATGCGGTCTTAAAAATCATTTTGCGATTAGCTGCAAAGTATCAAAAAAATTATTAAGGAAGTATTGTGTGATTCAGAAGATGAGGTTCAATGTGCAGCAATGCAAAGTGGTAACAAGAAATCTGAGTGGTTTGAATATATTAAAATCGGAGATATAATAGTAAAGTGTAAGTTACACACTGGAGCCGACATGAGTATTATGCCACTTGTTTTCAGTTTATCATTAGTTTATCATTAGAGTAACGCTATTCTTAAATTGTAATCATATTCAATTATTTTCTGTGATACTAATAATAATTGTTTTATCTTCCATGCATATATTTTAGAATAAGGATAAAGAAAAGGTATAAATAATAAATGTGATTTATTAATAATATGTGATTGTAATAAACATCCATTTTATTCAACATTAGCTTATCACTGGGCTAAAGCTATTGATAAATTGTAATCATATTTGAGTTTTTTCTGTGATACAAATTTTGAGGAATTGTTTTCATCTTTCATCTTATAATTTCGCAATCAATATGTTTACGTTAAGGATTACAATACCTCTAATGCAATTAAAAATTATAATTATAATTGAATATATTATTTATTAATTTATTGTTATGAAGAAGGCCGATTAAATCGTTTTACGAAAAGTAATGTATTTCCTTCATTTTCCTAATATGAATAAAACTAATTTAATAAAATATAAATATAAAAATTAAATATATAAATGGTGGGGTTATAAATATATATATTTATATATAACTCATGTAGGACTTATAACACTTATATGACTTTAACAGCATAGCATTCAGAAGTCTTTGCTGATATTAAGAAAAGAGATATTATACTAAAAGCAAACTCGCCGTAAGATATTTAAACATAAACAACTTTGAAAATAAATTAATTTTTTGACACGACAATTATTTATTCATTTGTTGGAAGAATTACAGCTGATCAATGAAAAGGTAATAAAACTCAATAAAGTCAATTAAAAATCATAGCAAGAGAGTAAAATTAGCAAATACGTATTATATTATAACATAGTAAAAATTATACCCACACCTATGCAATTAAACATTATTCTTATTAATAGTAAATTCAAATTAATACAATAAATAACCCTTATTATTTTTTAACGTTGAGAATTGTAAAATTGTACTAATGTTATTAAAATAAAAAATTGTTGTGGATTTCGTTTTTGAATTTAATATTTTTTCATTTAGTATTGCTTTATATAAAACTGTGAAACTGAAAAAATGGTTTCATATGGAATCGACTAAGCAATTTTGTATTATGTATTTTAAATAATTTTTTTTTAACACAATTGATTTGTTTTCTCAGTATATAAAACTATTATATATAATAAGTAACTTATTATATTTGATTAATTTCGCATTCACAATGCTATACTGAAAATTATTCTTAATACAAATATCGCCCGGATTACAAAAGGTCATGAGTTCGAGTTCCACCTAAGGGTGCCAGGGACCAAGTGGATTTTTTAAGCATTTTGTATTAAGAATAATAAATAAATTAACATGAATTTATTGCATTTTTATCAAACTTGCGTTTATAATATATAATTATTTTTCTTATAAAACCCACCATTTACTCAATAATTATAAAAATAATAAAACTCGCCATCAGAGCAGCGTATACCAAAAATGAATTTTCGAGAATTTTCATTATTTAACAATACACGAAAAATCATAAATTAGCAACGGCAGGTCTAGTCCGCGCTGGCAACGTCGCAGCAATATGCGACAGACAACAAAAATGTAACGTGCGCAAACGAGATAGACGTTCCATTAATGAAGCGGGTGAGATTTTTACGTTAGCTTAAACGCAAGCGATATTAGCCTTATGGGTGAAAGAGCCTGTCCGCCATTGTACATAGAGACATGTCAAAAATGGCAATTTTTTTTTATTGCATTTATGGCTTTAGATTGTCCATACACATATACTTATACATATAAGATCTTTTTTAAATATTATGTATTTTACTTAAAATACAAGTCATATAAGAGAATAAGCATCATATTTACAACGTTTAAGTGTCGTAGATGCGGATATCTATAGTTATCGTTTTGTACGGTGTTTAAAAATGCGTGTCACTCGGTGCGAGTGCGGTCTTGTCTGACATAACTTCATTCACGGGAACTCCCCAATAAGTCGTGTCAATTCTTGTTCGCGCAGTGAAATAATTACCGTTTTGATACAATATCAGATTTAGTGGAGTGTTTTTAAGTTATAAATATTCATAATACATCTACAATAGTACTGTGAAACATGAATAATAGTAGATAAAAGTTATTGGTAGATATTGCAAACTCCGACAACAATGTTTTAACCGTTTCTGAAGCACAAGATTTAATTAATTATATCGATGAAGCAAATAAAGGTAAGTAGTAATTCAAATAAAATTACATCAGACGTTCAATAATATTTAAAACTGATTGAAATATGTTATAATTTTTCTAACCTAGTGCGGTAGGATATCAATATAAAAGCGGTCATCTCAGACTTATCCGCTTATACTATGTTAATCATCTGAAACCATTCTTTTACGAATAATTATGATAAGTTGCATGCTTATTTAAAATATGATTTGCTTACTATTTTATTTACTAAGAAAACAACGTTTTTATTATTATCGCGGTATATGAACTCATGTCCTACATGTTTGTTTATACGTGTAACTATAAATTTATTCGTGGATTTGTTTTCATTTACGTTTCGGCGTTTTGTGTGCGTCATTATAGTTTAATAAATATATTTCTCTTTCTTTTGTTTTTAGAGACACCAGTATGTTCTGGAAAAGATATTTCATTGGATCTTGAGGATCGGCCTTTGGACGTTTGTAACGACGAAAGACACATTACCGAAGTACCTAGCGATGAAGAACAAAATCATACATCAGCTGATATAATATTATCTCAAACTGATTTAAATTATATAATTGATACGGTAGGGGAAATTTCGAATGATGAAATTCAAGATTACTATCTTAACAATTCTATCTGTGAAAATGAAACACCACAACCAACACTTCAAAATGATATCAATGAAGGAACTGCCCATGATGTTATTTCAACAGCTTCAGAATCTTTGGTTTCAACACCAATGCCAAGTCCATGCATGTCGTTTGGAGACAATAATAACGAATGTAACTACTTAAGCGAAAGTACGGTTATCCTATCTGATGCAACCTTAAGATTAAGCCCCCTAGGATCCAGCGCAATGTCCGGTTCATCAACGCCGCGTCAACGTAAAAGAAAGCGTCAGTATGTGAAAAAAGCAATTACAAAGAACAAAATTACTAATAAATCTAACTAGCTAGATGAAAAAAGGAAGGCGCTTGTCAACATAGGTGAAGCTCATACATCTCGATCCGGAAAACAACAAAAGGCAAAACAAATGAAGGGTCCATGTGCATCTTATTGTCGATTAAAATGTTTTGAGAAGTTTGGTATGGTAGCTCGCCAAAAAATATTCGAAACCTTTTGGAATCTAGGTGACCATTGTCTGCAGTGGTCTTTTATAGCATCACGCGTAAAAAGAAATAAGAAAAAAACAATGGACACAAGATTCTAAGAGGTTAATGTTTACAAGTTTTTTTCGCCTCTTTTCTCTAATATTGGCCACAAGGAGAAGGTAATAGTTTGCAAAACCATGTTTAGAAATACGTTTTCTATAAGTAACACTTTTATACAATCTGCCATCGATAAGCATGATAAACCCTTAACCACTGACGTACGGTCGGCCAAGAAATTGGTCTACCAGTTTTGACAACATTTCCCGTGTCTTTAAAGCATCGCTAAAGGCGAATCTTAGAATTGCATACAAACAATAAAAGAGATGCACAATGCTGACGTGTTGTCGTAGAGCACAAATGTTATTTTGACCTTTGCAGCCTATTCATTAGATAATAATTTGCAACAACAAATAGTCTTCACAATATTTCATAAATTTAAAATTTAAGTAGGTCACTTCAAAGTGGAAACTATTTTGTTACGAAAACTCTTTTACTGAAAAAGAATATATCACTTGACAATTCATGTCAAATATTTTCTCGGCATTTTCCGTAGGTATTTTCCTAATTAATTTACACTACAATACCCCGAAATTTATCCATTAACGAAAGAGCACAAATAATCGCATTACACAATGATGGTTTGAATATTAGTGAGATTTCTAGAGAATTAAATGTGTCGGTAAGTATTATTATGTCTGACGTGAGTTTCTTGTAAAATCTCTGACCAAGCCCGAGTGTAAAAATTTTTTTTTATTTTTTCTGTTCATATTTTATTTTTGATTATAGAGACAAGCTGTCCGTCTTTGGATAAGACGAGAAAGCGAGGAGGGGAATTTGAACGCTCGGAGTCGTAGCGGTCGTAGACCTGAAATATCAGATACTCAGCGAGTCTTCATGAGACGAAGTTATGAGGAATCTGGCTTTATACCAACGCGTTATTTTGCCGACATATTTGACGTGACTCTCCAAACCATTAGAAACCATTAACATTACATGGGCTTACATCACAGGCGTTATGCAAAGAAAATTTATATGACTGACGCTCATAGAATGGCCAGATTAAATTTCGCCATAGAATATTTGGATTTTGATTGGAGTAACACTGTTTTCTGTGACGAGAAAACTTTTAAATCCAGTCAACGTGGGCGTCTACACTTTGGCGATTCAATAAAACGCGATACACGCAAAATCATGTCGTGCCAAATAGAGAATCGGGTCGTATCTCGGTAAATTTGTATGGATGGATGACTGCTGATGGTGTTGGAGACTTGACCTTTTTGCCACCACGAGCAACGGCATCAGATTATGTTGATGTTCTCCAAAATGCTATGTTGCCATCCGTCCGGAACGTTTATCCAGAAAATGAAATGCGTCAATTTAATTATTTACAGGATAACTGTCCCTTACATAAAGCAAGGGTAACACGTGCTTGGTTTGATGCACATCCGGAAATAAACTTGATACCATGGCCTACAAAATCGCCAGATCTCAACCCTATTGAAAATATGTGGGGTCTTATGGTTCAGAGATGGTGTAACCGTAATGAACGAACAGCAGAAGCACTACAAGGGCACTGCAATGAGGTTTGGGAGGAAACACGTGGGTCTGATATCTGCTCAAGACTGGTGGGCTCGATGAGGGAACGTCTCCAAGCTGTTATAGAGGCAGATGGCGGCTACACAAGATTTTAAGAATTATAATTTTATAAAAGAATTGTATATATTTTTTAACAACCAAAGAATTAGCATTTTCACTATCTCTTCTAGTTTTAGCCCTTGTCTCGCACTAAGCTATGGGTCGGCGCAATATGTTTTTCGTCGCTATTCATTTCTGTTATCCGTTATCTCAGTATATTCAGACCTATAACACGCATAGCATTTCACTACCTACTGATTTTTTTTTATTTGTATTAAAATATAATTAATCTACATTCTAATGTAGGATATTTGTAGACTATAAGACTTTATTTACGATATTCTAACTCAAAAGTATTTAAACATACAAACAGACAGACAGAAAAAAAAATATTTTTAGCTTCTATTAGTCTTATGAAGGCCGTCCATATATTTTTTTTCCAAAATATCTTACAAATGTAACCTTGTTACATTTTTATTATAGGTATAGATAATTACTGTCAAAGGTTACGTCAAAATGATGAAAATAGCAATAAAGACGTGTACTTGACGTGTCAAAAAATTAATGCTACGGAAAATCAACCTTGTTGTTAGTTGACGTAACATGCGAAATTCAACCTTAGGGTGGTAGACCACTTTCTTGGCCGACTGTACGTATGACGTACGTCGACCAAAACATTATTTACTCATAACTTTAAGGTTTTGTTGGAATTCGTGCAAATCCTCCCTGGTACCTTCCTAGCTGCCAGTGACGCGTGCGGGGCGGAGGAGAACGGACGCGTGCTACGTTGCTAAGCAGGTTAGTTTGACCATGTTACGTACGTTGTACGTAGCGTCAGTGTTAGTGTGACAATTTCAATTTCTGTTTTTGTTTGTTTTTAGATAAAATGAATCACAAGCGGTGCAATTCTTCTTCCGCACAATCTACCAGCAAGAAGTCTGTGCTAAACATAGCTGCGACAAAGAAATAATTGAGGCTATACTCATGGAATCAGAAGAATCGTCGGCTGATAAAAATTGTTGTGTTGATGAGTCATCGGACGAAAATGATAATGAAAAAAAGTCCTCCGGTAATGCTTCGGACTCTGACTCTTCTGAGGACGACGTTTCATTGTCACAACTTGGAACTCGGTGTGGTTCGGAAGAAAGGAGAAGCAATGTCCAGGTTAGTGACTTTCATGCAGAATCACTTGATGAGAATGATGTGTCACAAAATCGTAAAATATATTACTATGGCAAAAACCGTTGCATGAAATGGTCTGCAGAAGGACCTTCGAGAGCCACTCGTACAGCAACGCACAACATTGTGACTCCATTACCTACTATTGATGTTCCGTGTGACCTACCGCCTTCGGAATTGTTTGGCTTACTGATAACTGAGAGCATAAAATCTCAAATTATTGAGCACACAAACCAAAGATTTCAATTGATGAGAGAAAAATATAAGCGTCAATGTAAGCCTGAACTAAAAGACTTAGATTCTGTGGAGTTGGATGCATTTATTGGGCTACCGAATTTATAGTGCAGCATTCAAATCAAACGATGAAGATATCAACGCATTGTTTGCTACTGATGGTACCGGCAGAGATATTTTTAGAGGAGTAATGTCAAAGGAGCGATTTGCAATGATTCTTATCGGTTTACGGTTTGATGATAAATCTACAAGAGCCGAAAGAAAACTATCTGACGTTGCTGCTGCTATTTCTGGAATATTTTACGAGTTTATAGCAAATTGCCAAAAGTACTATAAGATCAATGAGTACACTACAATAGATGAAATGTTGGTATCTTTTAGAGGTCGCTGTAGGTGGAAGAAGTATATGCCTAACAAGCCTTGTAAATATTTAGGTTTGGAAATAAAGTGCCTGACTGATAGTGCAAGCAGTTATTTGTATAATGCATATTTATACACGGGAAAGAATAGTGACGGTCACGGACTAACAGATGAAGAAAAAAAGCTACTAGTGCCAAGTCAAAGTGTTCTTCGTCTGGCAAAACCTATTATGGGAACAAATCGAAACATTACTGCTGACAATTATTTATCTTCGATTGAAGTATGCAATGAGCTGAAAAAGAATGGGTTGACGTACGTCGGGACTCTAAAAAAAAATAAAAGGGAGGTAACGCCCGCCGGAGTTTGTTTCTAAAAACCGTGAGGTCAAATCATCTTTATACGGCTTCACTAAAGAACTTACACTGCTGTCATATACTCCCAAGAAGAAAAAAGTAGTCTTGATGATATCATCCATGCACCACGAGATAAGCACAGATTCTAATAAAGGAATTCCTGAAATGATATCATTTTATAACTCATCGAAGGGAGGTGTGGATTCCTTAGATGAAAAGTGTGCTAAATACAGCTGTGCAAGAAGGTCTAGATGTTGGCCATTGGTCATATTTTACAGGATCCTGGATATTGCTGCCGCCAATGCCTTTATAATGTCTAAATATAATTCTTCAGATCGACTGATTTTTTTGAAAGACCTTGGAAGAAACTTAGTGTCGTCACAACTTGAAAAAAGGTATTCGACACCTCAACTTTCACACGAACTTTCAAGTCTTATTGGGCGTATCCTAGACAAGAAAAAGGATACTGAAGTTGGTCAACCAAGCTCTGAAATGCAAAAATTTGAAACCATGAAGAATTGCTATATGTGCTTCAAGTTAAAAAGACGCAAAATTAGGTACGGTTGCCGAGCATGCGGAAAACCAGTCTGTTTGCAGTGTTCTAAACCTACCTGCAATAACTGTCCGTAAAAAGTTCTTTAATTTAATATTTTTTTGAAACATTGTTTTTTTTGTGTGATTCATATCTTAGTCTGTAAGTTAAGCCAAAAAAAGGTTCCTAAAAAGAAAGACTATTTTTGTGTTATTTTTGAAAAAATGTTGTTTTAGTTTTTGTGCCTGTTTCATTGTTCCTTAATAAACATTTTGCTTTTAATATTATTTGTGTTTTTATTATTGTCATATGGTCTTCAATATATGCCTAACTAAATAAGAAATAATAATTAAAACAATATCCATAAACATATACACAAAAGGTTTATAAATGACATACGTACGTCAGTAGTAGCGTAACAAAATGACATGTCAGTGGTTAAGGGTAAAAATACTGGTATTTGTAGTAAAGATATGAGAGGCTTTCATCAAAATCATCCAACTATAAT